TCACCTTTTATCATTTGATCAAAATACACCCCTACTTCTGTTCTCCACGTACTCTTAAATCTATCGCACGTGCTTGAAATCGACAAATGGGTTCCCTGTCGCCATAATTAAAAGCCACTGGCAATAAAAAAAAGTTGAAAACATTGTTGTTTTTCCTTTCAAGTGCGTACGTCACTTTGGGATTTTTTATTTTATCCGTCCGACTAAAAACGTCACGAGATATTATCCTCATATTATCTATCTACTTACAATGACCTATGAGGATCTTGGCGTCTCAAATGCCACTGAACCCGAACGTCTCGTGAACAACAAGGTCATTACACCCGTTTTATCACCAATTGAGTCGGAAGCAGCCGCTCTTCGTCGTCGTACATCCATCCCCAGCACGTTTTCTTTTGGTGGTGTGGACCACGTTATCCCCGCTGACGTCAGTCAACGTCGTTGGCGAAGCTTTGATGCTGCTGCGATTGTAAACAATGCCGCTGCGTCTTCAGCTCTTGAGATGTTGTCCCAACGTATTCAACATGAGAGTCAGCACGTACTCAAGCGGAAAGCACGACTGTCCAAACGTCGAGAGCTTTTACGCAGTGTCAGTTGTTGGCTCAGCTCTAGTCGACGTGATCAAGTTGCTTTGTTACAGATGCAGCTGGTAGCTGAAGTAGCAACAGGCAATCGGTCGTTGGCTGTACTTAGTGATATGCATACGGTACTCGCTCTCGATGAAGCGGATGAACTTCGTCATCGAGGAAGTTTTGCAGCGAGTCAGTCCTTATTGGACGGAATTGAACAATCGGAACGTGCATTGGCTGAAGATTGGCTACGACAAGTACTGCAATTACAAGCTCATTATCTTGCTAAGCTTGTGGAACTTCACAGGCAGAAAAATATCGTGTCAAACAGTTTGACACTTGAGCAATTGCTTCTTCAAGTGGATAATGTCAAGTCAGCTACAGATGAACCGACACTTGCTTTTGTACGTTTTGAAAAGCTTCTGAGTCGTCAGAAATTGCTCAAGCCAGAGCTTAAGAAAGCACTGGACAAGCTCTGCTTGGATACGATGCGGTCTTTTACACGTGCTAGCAGCCAACCAGGACCCAAGACGGTTTTTGACGATAGAGAACCACGTGATGTCATGCAATCGCTCGTCTTGGAGATTGTCAATGCTGTTGCTAAGGAAGCCAAGCTGGATACGAATCAAATGCCAGCACTACTGGTGTTTGTGGAGCACATGGTCTTTAGTCGCCTTGCATGTGCGTGCTATCGTGGCACAGCTGCTGATCTGGATGAGCTTAATAGTTCATGGCGTGACCAGGCAGCTAAAATTCGCACACTGAGTCTGGAAGAAGTTGGCTTGCCCGTGGAAATTCCTGTAAAAGCTCAGCAGCAAGAGCTTTTTAGCAAATCTATTGCTGCGTTCAACAAAATCCCGCACCTCGTGCCTTCTAGTGTGCTGGCGTCGTTCATGCGTGCTGTGTGTACGTTGTATTGTGAGGCCAAGGAAGAATTTGGCCTGGACAGCAGCTGCATTTCGGCTGATGTATTACTGCCATTGTTGGTGTACGTGTTGAGCCGCTGCGAGCTGCCGCACTTGCACTCGCAGGTGTATTTGATGGAGCAATACGCCATTGATGAATCCCAGAGTGGCTCAGAAGCTGCTTACTATTTGGCGTGCTTGCAGGCTGCAATGGGCTACATCGTGGGCAATGGAGTTGTTGAGGTCACTGAGTCTCAGTAAAGAAGCTCAAAGGGGTTATAGTCATTGATGTATAGAAGTTGTGAGTTTATTTGTCAAGAAGAGAACTTATTTATCTAAGAAAGTATGTAACAATACAAACGAGTCTTGAATCGATAAGTGATGCTTGATCAATCTGTCTATTGATTCGGGTCTGTCGTTATTGGAGCGAGTCGATCCAATGCCGCACATTAGCGATTGAGCTCTCTAAGTCTGGATGTGAAACAAACAGCAGGAGTGCATTAGCTACATATAGTACCATCACCACATTTCAAAGCTGCTAGAATAATAACTCACTGACTGCTCCACAGCGCTGTAACCAACGGGATTTAAGCAGGGTATCAGCTGATGCGCGGTCTAGCGGATTCTTTTGCAGACATTGATGCAGGAATGCACAAAAATCTTGCGAGAACTCTTGCGGTGAAAGAGCAGGTGGCGGTGCTTCCAGTACGCTCTGCAGCATATCGATGCATGTTTTGTCGTTCGGATACGGATAGACACCCGTGGCAGCCTCCATAAGCACGAGACCAAGACTCCACGTGTCTGAGCTGTAGCTGTACTGCGTGTGCTGAATCCGCTCGGGGGACATGTAACGAAAGGTACCTACAAAAGTGCCGCACATAGCTACAAGGAACAAGCTAGCAAGGTCAGACATGCAGTCGAACCTGCAAGTAAACTGATTAACCACAGTACCCATTGAGTTGCCGAGTTCGGTGGCGATGCCGAAGTCTGATAGCTTGACTTGACCCTGGCTGTTGAGCAAAATATTTGGCGGTTTGATGTCGCGATGTACGCATTTGTTGGTCTTCAGATACGATAGTGCGTGGAGGATCTGGTAGGCTACACTGGCTAGGACGTGCTCCGGAATCGTACCAAGCTGACGAATGACGTTTTCTAATGACCCACCGTCCATGTATTCGAGAGCAAGCACTACCGCTCCGTCACGGACGAATGCACCGAAGAAGGTGACAAGACATGGGCATTTCGCATCGAAAAGCGCGTTGATCTCTCGGATAATCTGTTCACGTTTGATTTTGTCGTACATGTTGATCATCTTGAGAGCCAACGGCGTGTTAGTGGGTCGATGACGGGAACGTAGCACACAGCCACTAGCTCCTCGTCCAATGACTTTTCCATCCCATTCCAGTTCCTCTGGTACGACACTGAAAGCGCGACCGGTTCCTTTACGGACGACTCCAGTCGAAGTGATGGCATATTTGCCTTTGACGTAAGCACCAGCATCGGCGATGAAAGAGTTCTCGAGACTGTCCATGATCCAATGTAGAAAAAAAGCTTGAAAGACCAGGAGGTGTGGATGGAGCGGGTGATCGAGATCTGATGATGCCTTTTCCAGTGTTGTGAGAGATCAAGAAGACATCCGAGGACCGCCAAGTTGGCTGTCGCTGTCACAACACACGAGCTCCACTGGCCTCTTCGACGTTAATAAACGTTACGTGACCACGCAGAAGGAAGATCCAAGCGTTTGAGGACTGTTGAAACCGTATTATAACGTGCTAATGGTGCGATGACAAGCATTCTCGTGACGTCCGTTTTGCATACGTGTGGTCGACAATGCACGTGTGAGGGCAAAAGCAAGTTGGTCCACTCGTTTAGAAGCGACGTGCCCAAACAAGGTTTCGCCTTTTGTGCAGACGGACTCTGCGCAGTAATTGTCTGTCATCGGTTTTCCACGATGAAGACGACATGGAGGTCAGATATCACTGACGCAACGAAGCTTACCGATTGTGCTTGAAAGAAGATAAGTGAAGGTGCACCGACATGCCAATATCTTAGAATGCGCCGACTTTGTGGGCTGATGCCCAGTTAAGTGTCGTCCAACAATCGGATCGTCGGCATCTCAGCGGTAGATGCCTCGACTTGCCATACTGGTGGTGATGTTTGCTGCTTTAAAGGAGGTGTCGCTTACTGCTTTTGCAAGACGTTCGACACATTACAGAGGCTTGCACCTGGTTCGATGCATTCCTCTTGATCTGCATTGAGCGAGCTTTACGAATGTATTCCTCAAGTCAATTGTCCATTCTGCCAGCGGTTACAGCTGCAGAGGCAGCTAAAGTTCCGACACAGACAGACAATTGAAGGCATGACTCCAGAGTTCACGAGCAGAGAGAGAGAGTTATTGAGGTCTTTATCGATATAACTCATGCATTGGTCACTGTCATCAAGAGTGATCTAGAGGAAGATATTTTGGTGGCGACGACTTCGTTTGTAGACGAGATAGGAGGTTCACGTGGACTTTTGACCTTGTTGGGCTTCCAACAAACTGTTGCAAGCCGAAATCTCGACACTCCGTCAACTGTCTGGCAGCATTTACGCAGCGTCATACAGCTAGTGAACCACTTACGGTCAGTGCACGAGCATTCAGCAAACATTATGCGCAAAGTTCGAATGGCTGGTGGGGTGAGCTGAAAGGGACGTACTGCCAAAAAAATGCATGTGCAGAGAGGAAAGTCCGTGAGCTCTTAGCCACTGCAACGTAGAAGAATATTCACAGTCTTCCTCATGATCATGTGATCCAAGTAATTTCTACGACCTATCATGACTTCGCACTACATTCCGCGTCAAACAAGCGGTATACCAAGCAAACGGGTATCTGCATCTTAGAATCAGCGCTCGTTCCAAGTTCATGACTTCACGTTGTTTCGACCTGATCAATCGATGGCACTGATGATGCGCCTTGAACAACTAATTGTTACTAACAAGTAGTAATACTAACTGAGCTTCCAGCCGGACCTCACGACTACAGCGAGCAATACTGGGTCTCGTGTTACACTCCAGGATAGTGATAGAATTTTCTTGGCTGTGATGGGTGGTGTTGCTGCGGTTGATTGAATGTTCCTCCATACGGACGACGCGGGGCAGATGATGCTGAGCCGTTATCATATAAAGGTCGCTGTGTTGGGTCTTGAGTTTGCTGGTATTGTGCAAACGGACGCTGTTGTTGCTGAGGCTGCAATCTCGCATAATCGTAAGAAAGAGGCGTTGGCGCTTGCTGTGAAGGCTGGTAGTACTGTGAAGTGCTTCTCGCCGATTGTCGAGCTAATGCCTCATCCTTGGTATTTGGCCCAGCAGCGGCATTCCACAATCTCATATCTCCATCATCTTCTGAGCCAGAGCTGCGTCTTCGGCCTCATGTTGTCTCATTTCTTCGTCAGCGGCCAAATTCATCTCTAGCTCGCGTTTTTCAAATTCGCGCGCGGAACAATGGTCCTCTACCGTTTGATGTAACTGCGCGATTCGAGTACTAAGCTCATCGTAAAACTTTTTTTTCTTCGACGTGCGAATGAAGCTGTTCGAAAACGTCAGCACCATCGTTCAAATATTGAAGAAACGTTTGACGCTCGCGCAGCACATGACTGATCTCTTTCTTTGCTTCAAAACGAGCGTTGGCCTTTACTATCTCTTGGAGCATATAGCGCTCCAATTTACATATAGAAGAAATTCTCCTCTCAAATTCATCGCATAAAGACTGCTTTTCGGTTTCGAATGCAGTATCGGTAAAGACGGCGCCAGCATTTTTCCCACTCAGTAGCTCAGGAAGAGCGTCAAAATTGTTGTAAGAATGTCTAAAATCATATAAGACGTGGTGTTTTTCCTGCACATGTCGTTCAAGGTGCGAAAACAGCGAAGACACACATGCTATCTCTTCCTTACAGCTGAAGTTGTTTTGCTGTAACTCTGGCAACTCATGATCAAGACTTGCCTTATCCCGCGACAATGCCTCCAACTTTTCCTGGTTTTCATTGAGCTTATCTCGAGCCGTACGATCGGATGTTTTTGCCTCCCTCACCAAACTGAAACACCGATACATGTCTGCTCGAAATTTTCGATTGAATGAAGAGGACAGAGGACGAGCCCACTTTTTATCACCGTAATTTTGTCGGCACACGTCGTCCTCAACTTGTTCTTGGTTTAGGCGTGACTTGATCAGGTGTAGTTTCTTCTCCCCATCATCCAACATTCGTTGATTTTTCTGGAGTTGATGTTGAATAAAAGCCACGATCGGATTGTCCCTTGATTCACCAATTTCCGTCCTAGTAGAACCTGCTATTACCTTAACCAACTGAATGCGCCGCCATATTGTACGTGGAATGCCATTATCGCTGGTCTTTTTAAAGCTTCGATCGAAGCAGGCAGTCCCATGGAGTGAAGTGTCTTCTCAACAACTTCGTTGCTCCAAAATATCTTGTCTGCCGTTCGATCCATGATCACTTAATTTCTTGTTTCACATCACCAGCCCGGATAAGCGGCACAAACTGCTTAAACAGATCAACGTCTATAAGTTCTTGCTGCAACTCATGCAATGTGAACGGTCTGACCATTGCAGCTTTTTCTACCGCTATTAGTTCGGAAAATTTTGGCACGTTCTCCAAATAAACGCTGGCATTGTTGTACTTCGCCACATCAAGATGTTTCTGCACCCTGCGCTGTAACGCTTGTGCAAGCTGATATAACGACGAGGGCAATTTAATCTGTGTCACTACTTTGAATGCCTCATTGCATTCCGCATCCGCGGCAACAAGCCTCGCGATCTCCTCACCGTACCCTTCTCCCTCATCGAGGGCTATTGCTTTGGACGCCATTCCTTGCCAATATTGCGTAGCCGCGCGCATGCAATGCACTTGGAACTGCAAATGTGCTCCCCACGACGTGTCAATCGCTCCTGCCAAAGCCGATGAGCGACAGAACTCCAGTGCTGAGACGTAATCGTCCAGTGCTTGTTGCACGAGCATCGCTTTCATCGTGTCCTTCATTTGGACTTTGATAGCTTTTTCATAGAAACACGTCTGAGCTTGAGCCAGCATCAAGTACGTAAGCAATCCTAGTCCTTCAGCACTCATGTCAGGTGTTCGAATACCTAATGTCTGTTCGATAATCTTGTCTTTCACTTCTTTGAAAGCTCCGGCGGCTCTCATAAAGTGATGACAGGCTACTTCAAGTCCCTCAACCGTACTACGGTCTGTCTGGACACCTAATTGACTCTCTAAAGCCCCTATATTGAACATAACGGCTGCTTTTTCAAAGGAAATTCCTGCTTGTGTGCTCTTTTTCCGCGGACAAAACGAGTCGGTCCACGTAAATTGAAGCTGCAACGGCGTCCGTGTAGAGGATGCATCACCATTGCATGGAAAACGCTGCGTCATCTTGTCCAATTGCGCAAAATAACGCAGCAACACATGACGAGAGATAGCAGAGGGCGTACGCACGAGATCTACGTCGGTCTTGAGCTGTTTGAATTGACTTAGCGCCTTTTGATGCATCTGTGTCTCTCTTGAGTCCATATCAGACGCGTATTCGCGACTCAGAAACTCATTGAGCGAGCTACAGAGAGAGGACACGGACGTATCGCTGAGCTTTAATTCAATGCCGAGCATGATAAACTGAAGAATGAATCGAGAAGGTGGATTATCTGGATTTTCTTAGAATCAGATTCTTTTTACGAAAGATTTACTTCTTTGGACAAAAAGTAATATTTTTTCAAGATCATTTTTTTAATATCAGCTTCAGACTGGGACAACTTGTGCAAACAATCAACATGACGACTTTACAAAAGCCAAAACATTGATGAGAATCGATGAAGCAAGCAAGGCGTCGTTGTATCGAAGGCGGTGACGTGAGAGCTCTGTGGGCACCATCCTGAGGCCGGATCGGTGCAGATTCTTCTGCGACGTGAGTTGTCAGTATCAAACGAATGTTTGCGAGCTAGTATTTGAGTAGCTGGAGAAATCAGACGTCGAAGCTTTGGGCCGCTACACTACATCAGAAACCAATAGCAGAGCGACGTCATACCAGTCGGTGGTGTCATTGGATCAATGTGGTTCTTAGTTGAAGCGCTAACTGGCGTCATGCGCCAGCATCCAATGGTGAATCCGAAGCAGCACCTGTGGCCCTATTAACAAAATTTGGGTCGATGCTGCATCAGCTAAGCTATCTGACCAGTCAGTAGCAATGTTATGACTAGCTTGCCAGTACGCCTTTCGGCGTCCTGTTAATGATTGTAAATTGGCACATGACGGGGTCATAAAATTGCTGGTCGAGACAACCAGTAGCGTACCGTAAAATTCATTTGGCATTGCACACTCTTCACTATTCCATTGTGAGCAATATGAAATGCTTTTGTTTCTGCTTGAGGCTGTCAACACCAAGCAGTATTACATCATGGGGGTATTAAGAAGTCCCTGAGCGACTGACTGGGCCTTCTCGTGGCCACAAAGCAGCTCCACAAGCTTCACTCCCATGGCCATAGCAGTACCTGGACCTTGGCTAGTCACACACTTGCCATTCACGACAACATTCTCGTGTTTATCACTCCCGTCATTTTAGACTCAAAGCTCGGGTAACTCGTGGCTGGACCAGAAGGAAGTAGTCCGTGCGTGTGCAGCACGACAGCTGGAGCGGCACAAATAGCACCGTACAATTTGTTGTCTTCCTTTTGCTTTTGCAGCAGAGCTACTACCTCTTTCGAGTCACGAAGGTGCTCGGCACCAGGCATACCCTGTAGTATCAATAGTCATATATTATTACAAAATAGTAATACATCATACACATAGTAGTACTACTAAAAATAGTACTTAGAAACGTACGCCCGGACACACGACGAGGTCGAAGTTCTTGCCGGTGCATTCTTCAATGGCTACATCTCCTTGCACCTTGACACCACGTGACATCGTAACGATATTCTGTGGCTTATTGCCGACAGTGGCTAGCGTTACTTGGACGCCGCCGCGCGTCAGCACATCGGCCAGAGTAATGGCTTCGATCTCTTCCGAGCCGTCGGCCTGTAGTAATCATACTTTAATTAGTATTTTGTAAGTACTAGTGTATAGATCTTTTACTTGAGCACACGATGGGGATCAAAGCAGTTGTCATGGAAGTAGAAAAGTGACGGAGGGGGAGACAGCGGGGACGAATGAGCTGCGCGAGACGAGAGAGATGCATACAGCGGTGAAAAAAATTATTTACATGGCTTTATCCAATCATCATCTTGTAGGTTGGTACAATGGCTACACTATACCGGTAATTTAGAAATGGTGCCAGTATACTATTTCTGCAACGGCTTCTGCACCAAAACGTGCCCCATCAGGCTATTGTCAGACGAGCTACATGCATGAGTGTTAATTAGGTGACAACCTACGTGTTCATTCACCTGAGGCACAATCTCTTGCTGTGTAACTACAGTAAGCCTTGGCGAGCCAGATCCTCGTATGTCTTCCTATTGAGCACATTTCCTTCCGAGTCCTCGAATTCCTCCTCATTTGATGCATTCCAGCTTTCAGCATCAATTTGGTCTTTCAGCTTCTCGTACACTTTTCAGCAAGCAAGAAAGCATACAATTAGTGAGTTCCGGTGCAGAATAATAACGACAACACCAAGCAATACTTACGCTGGATGGCATCTCTCATGAGTGTAATGTCGTGGAAGTGCTTCGTGTTTGGAATCTTCAGGCAGCGCATACCAAAGGCATGACGCCATTCCTGAAAGTGACGATCGAATGCACGTCGTCCCCAATAACTGTGATTACCACAGATTTCGCATTTGTACTCGACGCCAAGTCCGTGCAGCTTGTACAACCAATATGGAATCGGTTTTCCATCCCAACCCAGCGGTAAGTTCAACGGGTTGTAAAGCTGTTCTTCCTCATCCTCACCGTCCTCATTTTCGTTCTCCACATCTACATCCGAAAACGCTCCTTCCTCTTCCTCTTCAATTTCGGCTTGGAGCTCTTCGTGTGTGCGTGTCTGCTTGAGTTCCAAGTATGAAATTGTACCCTGCACAACTTCCGTAAGGACTTCGTACATTCGACGGATTAATATCTCATCGAATGCAATGGCCTTCTGCTTCTTCTCCAGCTTCTTTTTAGTGTCCTTGCCTGTTTCGGCGCCGTTCGCAATTGCACCATTGCTTCTATCCCCTTCCGTAGCCTTTGCAGCAGCAGCAGCCGCAAACTTTTTGTGTTTCTTTCCTGTCAGGTGGCTTTTATACACACCCTCGGAGCTGAGCTGCTTATTGCAAAGTTCGCAAAAGTGTGCTGGAGTTTTGCCATCATCCACACTGTCATTCTCATTATTCACGTCCCATCCAGTGACTTCGTGAAGTGCCCACTGCTTCTCAAACTTTGCAGAGGTTTCCTCAATCACGTCGTCTAGGTCCACGAGAGGCTGCGTACGTTGGTAGAAATCCAATAAATACTCTTTCAAGTCCTTCAGATACTGCTGGAACGGCATCGACTGGGTTTTCTGTGCTGCTGGGATAGCCGAGAAGTCTGAGAATGACGCTAGATACGTCAGGTAGTCAATAGAAGTGGTAGTAGACTGCTTCTTTCCTCTTGTCTTGACACTCGAGCTCAACATTTCCTGTGTCTTCCGTACTTGCCTACAATACCCACCTGTTAGTAGTCAACACAACAGCACTGAGAACCAGTCTCTTTGCTTATACTCACCACTTGAACTCTGGTATGTTCAAAAACCGAAGGTAGAACTCATTTAGATCCACATATTTGCCGAAACGTTCTTCACCTGAGAACTGAACGTTCGGATGTAGAGCCTCCTCCCAATTTGGTTCATGAGAGACCACCGAGTTCGGATACTTCCGATGGAATGAACGAATCGACTTGAGTTGCTCATAGAACGTAGTAAACACTGCTCGTCCACGCATATTCTCCGTTTCTTCTGTAAAAATCCTGCCATAACAACAACAATAGTAGCAATAATAATCCAATACATCAGCCACAAAAAAACGTCCCTAATACAGCAACAGACAGCTATAAACGTACCCATCTTCATCTTCATAGAGCTCTTTAACGTGCTTACTGTGCTGTGTCACCCCATCTAGCAATTTGCTCACCTTGTGGCCATGCAAAACTCGACTCCGATGCTGCAAGAATTCAGTACATTATAGTCTAAAATCATGCGTCGTCTAAGTATTTATCCAATGCAGTCGTACATTGCGTGGTTTCTCGCCTAGTGTGGCTACGATAACACGCTCTAATGCTTCAATCTCTTCCTGCTCAGCACGTAGTTGCTCCAATACAGTAGACGACATAATTGATCGACTGCTGTCCTGCTAGTTCGGAAATAAATGAATACAATTTACGGTAGGACGGACGTGCAAGATGGCTACATCAACTATTCTTTTTTTACCAGGACACAGCACGTCCTAACTAATACGTCGTCGAGCTAGATTAATCGCTGTCGCTATCCAGTAAGCAGATAATATCCATGTCGTTTGGCTTTGCTCTGAGTTTTGAAGGTGGTCGTGCTTCACGTCGTTGTCGCTGGGGGTCGAACGGGTTATCGACATTGTGATTCCGAGACAATGAAGCCATTGAGTTTGCCAGATTTGATTCTGCTTGGTTGAGCAATTCTTGAAGAGGTAACACTGTCAGCGGTGTTGATGCAACTGTAGACGTCGGTGGGGGCATACTGTTCACAATGGTACTCGCAGGCACCGAATACATCCACGAAGACGAAGTACTTGCAGTGCTAGCCGACGTGCCATTTGAAGGAAACAGATTTTCATCCAACGGAAATGGAAAGTATTCGCCACAATTGCCATCGCTCCCACCGCTTGTTGTGCTCGTCGATGCAGGCATCACCGGGGTATCCCATACGTCGCTACCCACCGTTAATATATCAATATCGTCATCAAGCAGGATGGGAGTAGTAGACACAGCAGTGACACTTGGCGTGTTTCGTCTTGCTGTGTCCTCTTCAACCTCATCATCACTGGATAATAAATCAATCTCCACTGGTGCTGTTGAACTAAACCCAGCTGCTCCATTCAACGCGTCAGTGGGTGCCGCAGGTGCTCCACCAGAAATTGAGGTGACATCTGCTGGCAATGTACTAACTTCTGCTCGCTCCGCTTTGACTTTCTTGGCTGGAGGCTCTGACACTGATTCTTTTTCTAGCCTCCGTTTCCATGATCCATCGGGAAAGATTTCGACTTCCTCTAGTTCATCTTCACCTTCTACTTCAGTAAGAAGCTTCTTTAAATAAGGATCAATACGTAAATCTGCAGCCTTGATAAACTGAATAGGTCAAAATAGACAATACACACGAGAAAAACTTTAGTCATCGATCAGACAATCGGCAATACAAAAAATGGATGCTTGCTTACTTGATGGCACACTGTGCACCGCCACGCCTTCGACCGTGCTTTCTTGCTGAACAGCAAAAATGTTCTAAGATCAAAACACTGCAAATGTTTGCAGTGCAGGCCTCGGGCCGGCAGGTTAATCACACATAGACCCAATGGACAGCGAACCGACAGCATCGTAACGGTGGCAACAACATCGTCTTCATCTTCACTGCCAAATGACTTGATGACTTCTTGCTTTGCAATATCGTACGTCAGATGCTTCGATGCCTCTTTCACCTCATTCACGAGATCATTGATGTTGCACACCTCCACGATCTGTATCATGAATCCAAACACAGACGGGTTCTCGACACTTCGAATATCAACAACATTTCGGCCTGCGCGCGAGTACTGAAAGATGTTTGCTGGTAATTCTCGCAACACTTTGGAAGGATTCGCATGGCCAGGCGGAGCACGCTGCGTGATAGGCACACCGAAACCGTTCACGCTCAGCTGTGTAGATGCAGGCCAACAGTGTCCTGCACCAAGATCTTCTTTCACGGCAAAGCATCGCAGTTGCAGCTCCAAGGATCCTGGTGTCATTGATCCAGGTTGCGGGTCCCGCTTAACATACATATTGTTGAGGTCGTTGTCCGTGATGTAGTACTCAAGCCGAAAAGAGCTCGCAGACTTGGCAAAGCGCACAAAGTTTGGATCAACCACAGTCTTTTGCACCTTGTAGAACGGATCGTACGTCTTTGATCGACACATTTCACAGTACCACTCGCCACTCAACTGTATCAGGCACACAACAACAACACATAACACAACATGGTCGTTGTCAGCTCACGTATCAACACTTCTCAATCTCCATCCCCCAACAAGCAGGTCCACCCACCGTTACCAACTGGTGACACTTGGCATGTACAGCCAAGCCACAATCCACACACTTGATCACTTTCCCGGCTACTCCTTGCATTGTGCAGAAACATCTTGCACCGTCCAGTGCTGCGGCTTTTGTAGGATGATACAGATCGACGCCACTAGTGAGTGCAATGACCCCCGTACCAGCTGGAACTCCATTCACAGCTCCATATGTCACTGGTACATGAGGTGGTGCAATACGTCCATACACAGGGACAGGAATAGAGCGAGTTGGTGGTGTCGTTGGTGCGTAACAAGCCGCTACCTGTGGCGAACAATAGCTTACTGGCACGACCTGAGGTACAGGTGTATAACTTGTTCTTCCCCTTGTCTGGATCTCAATACTTCTCATACCAGACGACAGTCTCTCGGCGTAGAAAGGAGCCGATGTCGTACCTCGAGCTTTATCTGCAAAGTGCTAAAGCACGACAAGAAGAACATCGACACGTAACAAATGAGCTCTTACGAGTCAAAAGAGAGCTAGAAACAAGTAAAACGGACCTCCATCTCACTGGCAATACGGTCGACAAGCTCGGATTTGCGCCCCGAACGGGCCAAATTAAGGTCCATTAGAATATTACGCAGCTCTGGCATTCGGAGCATATTGAGACGCGTACGGAGGCCCCGCACTTGATGTTGGGTAATTGCATCAGTCATGATTGTATACAATATTTCTTCTTGATTTGTTGGTGGTGAGATGGTGCAAATCTTGTCCCGACGGCCTTATGTGCGTAAGCCTAAAAGCTTCTTCTCGCGCGTCCTTCAGACTCGGCGCATTGTTGGCATCGTGCCAAGCAACGTCCTTTGACATTGATAGATACCGTCTTTTAGTATTGTGATAGTGCCAAGTACTTACAATAAACAAG